GGGTTGCTGCTGAGCGTTGTCGTCTCCAGCTTGGTGAGGCTGTCAAATGCGCCGTCAGGAACACTCTGCAGTTGATTGGTAGACAGCTCCAGGGGGTACTGTGACATCACGTCTCACTCCTCTCATCGTTATAGCGACACCATGTATCACCGGCGCACGTGATTTCACGTAACTATTTGACTATTTGCCCTTTCGTTGCTGTAAAAGAAGATGTGTTTATATATATACTGAACGCTGCAATGCTGGCCTGCACATAAACTGTGAAGGGCAACACATTATAAGAACGTAGTGCTTTATACATAACATATACATATTATCATCACCAAAATATTCATAAATGTGAAAAATACTACATTGCTAAATTTCATATACAATGATCGTAATTACTCTTTGGTTCTTTCGGCAAAGTCACGTCGAAAATAAAAATTAATAGAACACGACGTTTCGGTTGCGATACAAGCAGCCATCATTAGGTAAGAATGAATGATAAAACACAGACACGGAAACAACATGTGTGTCTCGCTCGATGTGTCTCTGCATGTGTGTCTGCCTATGTTGTTTACGTGTCTGTGTTTCATCATTAATTCTTACCTGATGATGGCTGCGTGTGTTGCAACCGAAACGTCGTATTCTATAATTATTTGATTTTATTTTCTACGTGACTTTACCCAAAGAACCAAAGAGTAATTCCTGCAGTCACGAAAGCTTCGCATCTAGTCATCGTAATCTTCATCATAGTCATCACTTCAATTGCATGCGAGGTATCCGAGAAAAAATTAAATGATGTTTTACAACTTAATATATACACAACTCCCACTCCAAATAAAACAATCATCTTCACTATACGCTGCTTCCGTTCCTCCCTTAAACACTCCCCGTCTCTTTCCTCTCGCCCAGCATCATCCTGCTACTGCTACTCTTGAAACCCCGCCTCCCAGCTACGACCAGCCCTACCCCTATCACGACCCCTATCACGACCCCTATCAATACCCATATCCCTATCACTTCCCCTATCACTACCTCTATCACTACCCCTATCACTACCCCTATCACTACCCCTATCACGACCCCTATCACTACCCCTATCACTACCCCTATCCCTGTCATTACCCCTATCACTTCCCCTACCCCAATCACTACCTCTATCACTACCCCTATCACTACCCCTATCACTACCTCTATCAATACCTCTACCCCTATCACTACCTCTATCACGACCCCTATCACTACCCCTATCACTACCCCTATCACTACCCCTATCACTACCCCTATCACTACCTCTATCACTACCTCTACCCCTATCACTACCTCTATCACTACCTCTATCACTACCTCTACCCCTATCACTACCTCTACCCCTATCACTACCCATATCACTACCCCTATCACTATCCCTGTCATTACCCCTATCACTTCCCCTACCCCAATCACTACCTCTATCACTACCCCTATCACTACCTCTATCACTACCCCTATCACTACCCCTATCACTACCCCTATCACTACCCCTATCACGACCCCTATCACTACCCCTATCACTACCCCTATCCCTGTCATTACCCCTATCACTTCCCCTACCCCAATCACTACCTCTATCACTACCCCTATCACTACCCCTATCACTACCTCTATCAATACCTCTACCCCTATCACTACCTCTATCACGACCCCTATCACTACCCTTATCACTACCCTTATCACTACCCCTATCACTACCCCTATCACTACCCAAATCACTTCCCCTACCCCTATCACTACCCTTATCACTACCCCTATCACTACCCCTTATCACTACCCCTATCACTACAACTATCACTACCCCTAGCACTACCCCTATAACTACACCTATCACTACCCCTATCACTATCATTATATTTCTATTGTCTCTGCAAGCACTGAATAATCTTGCCCAAGCCTACCAACTGCCGCCCTGAACTCTCCGTATCATTTTACGATTGTGTCTCCAGGCGTGGATCTCTTCTGCAAGGGGGGGCGCTCACACCGCCCATTGCGTGTTCACGGTGTCGCAGGAGACGCAATCCACGTTGCCCCTGAAACATGGTTGGAGGGGAGTTGTGCGAACGAGTTGAACCTGAAATCCAGAGACGTGGTGTCCGGAGGAATCCCAGGTGTGCTGAATTCAACACACCTATTCTAATCAAACAGCTGCTACTACTCTTTCACAAACTTAAAATCAATGCGTACAATGTTGCAGTGTAACCAAATCACCCGAACTGCGTTCCCATCTCGCCAGATCTCAGGAGCTAAGCTGGTCATAGCCTGGTAAGTGATTGGATGCGTGATCGATATATATGAAAGTTGTTATAGGCTGCTGTGGGGCTACGTTGTGGGCATCAGAGGGCAGTGCAGTATAATCCATTGTTGTACTGGACTTCTATGCGCCCACGTTTACGTTTCACTGCACCAACTCGCACTAACCAACATGGTGAAGTATGTTTAACATGTAGGCTTTGGCGACCATTATTATTAATAATAATTACAATACACCCCCTCCTCCGCATCTGATCCCAGCGCCTGATGGGTTCAGTGATGACGTCATCTTGCTCTATTTAAGACCGGAAGCAGGTGGATTGTTTCACTGTTCTGGCAAATCGCCCGATGGTGCTGGATGATGAAATGATCAGAGTAACGTCACGACACTACTCAAATTGTCAATGTTGTGAATTTACTCTCCAACACACCGGTCGGCTGAAGTAGTCACTCACTGGCGCGTTGTTTACGTGACACACCTCACTGGCTGTGTCGGGTGGTGGAGGGTTACGACATTTATACTCAAGCGATCTAACCCAAAAACCTTCATTATGGTAATGTGCGACCAGACGAGCTCCCAGGACCCGCCCTGCAGAAATGGACCCACAAAAAGAGTTGTACGTGTACCACCATATAAAGCATCCAGTACATACAACCATCTGTTATACATGCAGGCTGTGTTGGGTAAGCAATGGTCCCCGTGTTAACCCATGCTCTTGCTTGCGGCTAAACCCCGTCTAGAAAGAGCCCCTGCAACGGATTGGTGCTCAGGTCCAGCAGAGTGAGTTTAGTCAGTCTGTCAAACACCCCAGGCCGGAGAGACTTTAGCTGGTTATTGAGCAGGTGGAGCCTTTCCAGGTGACAAACGTTCGATACCGCCGTGTATGACGGTGTACACGCACTCTTCCTACAGTCAAATATATACAAACGCTGTTGTCTGCATAGTTTTCTCCACAACAATCCAAAAGGACGGTTACATTTAATTTCCATGACACCACCACAGTATGCTCTTTAAATATAAAAGTTTGACTCATCAAAACAATGTTGTATTGACGAATACGTACAATGTAGACGTTTACTTGGCGAGCGCATTGCATTATGGTCATCGCTCCATTGTGTGCCACACTGATCCCAGGCTAGAGACGATTAAACAAGGCCGGACATTGGTGACTGCACGCGGCCAGCACTGGGGCTACAAGGGTTGGTGGATCGCACAAATGCTGTGTAAACTTTCTCCCCGTGGGTGTTGAGTTGCCATCACTCGGTTCGCCAGGAGTCAGATTAATCTCTCGATCTGTCCCTTCTGAATGGGATAGAGTGTTTCCCCCTCGCCCAAGTGGGTTTTATCTGGGTACTCCGGTTTCCTCCCACATGCATGAACGCTCATTATTTGAATGAAAACATCTTAAAATGTACATACCTATGTCTGTGGATTGTGCAGCGCTGCGTGATGCATTTTCATACATTACGCTGCTGTATTTAAACTAATCATTATTAAGGTCAATGTGATCGGCTATACTGACTCCTCCATAGGCAGTGCACGAACCCACGACTCGTGCCCTGACGAAGGCTGTGCTGCTGCTGTGTGTGGAGTAGCCACAGCTGAAACTCGTTGGGCTGAGACAACCAAACTCCCGCTTCTCGGGCGCTTACAATCAATCTAAACTTGTACAATGTGCACTCCGTTTAAAGTACATATCTATAAAACATGTTTTGTGTACTCATGTAGGTTAATTGCAACATTTAGACGTAATTCCATTATTGGCTTAGCTTCTAAATAAGAACTGTACCTGAATAACAATCAGCTGCAAAGTATTCCAGCAGGAGTCTTTGATAAGCTCACGAACCTCGACAGGCTGGACCTGTTTGCGAATCAACTGCAGATCGCTTCTGTGAGAGACCCAGGCGCCTGGCGAGCGTGTACAGCGATGTCATTTACAACTCATATTACAAATGTTTATGCTATCTAAGTGACAATGACTGCGTGTGAACTTTAGCCGAGCGTAATGCTGAAATACATTGGCAGTTTTAGGCTACATTTTAGTATTTTAAAAATCCACATTGTAAAGACGGTGATCTGGGAGCTCATACAATAATAGCAGCAGATACAATATGTTTAATACGGTGATCTGGGAGCTCATACAATAATAGCAGCAGATACAATATGTTTAATACGGTGATCTGGGAGCTCATACAAAAGTAGCAGCAGATACAATATGTTTAATACGGTGATCTGGGAGCTCATACAATAATAGCAGCAGATACAATATGTTTAATACGGCGATCTGGGAGCTCATACAATAATAGCAGCAGATACAATATGTTTAATACGTAGGCTTTCGCGACCAATGTTATCCATAATAAAGTTGTTTTGGGCTAGATCGCGTAAATATAGCGACGCATTGATATTTGCGCGATCTAATTAAAATTACACATTCATATGGATGCGATCTAACCCAAAAAATGATTCGGCTTATTCCAGCTCTGAGATAAAAAAAAAATGTGTTTAGATTGCCATGTTCCTCGTGCGAAGTGAGAAACATTTGACATCACTGAATATAAAATGATGTAGCGTGACCTTCTGAGGTTCTTCTCTGACACGAGAAGGTTGCTCACTGTGAGAGGATCATATTTGATACCACTGAGTCTTTAGTATATAAACTTTCACTTGCCATATTGAGCGTGCAGCATTTCTATTGTTTTAACACTCTTCGGCGTGTGTCAAATTATCATGACAATCAGCTGCAGAGTATTCCTGAAGGAGCGTTTGATACACTCACCAACCTGCAAACGCTGTACCTGCGTGACAATAAACTACAGAGCGTTCCTTGACGGTCACAAGCAACACGTGAATGGCACTCTGGCTCCACACTCGTTGCATGGCGACTTGCAACGCTCAGCTAACGTGGACTCCCACGCTAGAACATCAATATCGCTGTCGTCTCGTGGTGATAGTGATGCGACATCTTAGGGAAATGTTACGACTCGTTACACAGGCCGTATTATGCAGTGGTTAAGTAAAAGCCAGTGTCGAGTGTAAATGTAATATCGTCCGATACTAAATTTTTTTAATGAATCGTCTATAAAACATAATTCTATTGAACATCACTATAATATTTATTATACAATACATAAGTACAAATATCTTATTTATCCCCAAAAATATATTCTATGGTATATGTTAATACACATAAGATAGAGAGGGGGGGAATTCCCGCACCTGCGATTAGCACATTCCGCCACAGATTGAGCGTGGCGGGCTGAGACGATGCCATTCGGAGGCTGGCGATTTCCATTTTCTCTGCACCTATGAGCTTGTTAAACACTTGCAAACTACACACTACTTTAAATATACATGACGAATGTGTAGATTAATTGTGGCAAAGAACATACATTCGTGTTATCTTCCCCAATCTAGGTACCAATCAGCTGCAGAGTATTCCAGCAGGAGTCTTTGATAAGCTCACAAACCTCAACAGGCTGGACCTGGTTACGAATCAACTGCAGGTCGTTTCTGCGAGAGGCTCAGCTGCCCAGCGAAGTGTCGATAGCGATGTCAATCATAACAGATAATCCAAACTTGTATGCGATTGAAGTGAAGATGTCTGCATTCGGAAATGAACTTAGCGTATAGTGCTGAAATACATTTACATTTTAAGGCCACATTTTGGTGGAAAGTTCACATTATTAAGAGATTTGCAGTACTCAGATTCACATACGATTGCATTTGTCATCCAATTCGGCTTTTTCCAGCTCTCATATGTAAAACACTATTTGTATGGCGTATGGAATGCTCTTTGTTGTTGGTGGTGCTGGTTCCTGGTTATTTGATCCTAGCTGTTCTGCAATTACTAAAGACGAAGTTCTGTGGCCGCTCTCTGACACAAGGTGGTGCACTGCTGGCTGAAAACATTCTGGATCATGTCTTGTTTGTTCGTTCACCGCATGACATGACGCCGTTGACACGGCTGTCATATCATTTGGAGAAAGAGGCGACATGTTTACGTACATTTTTTTAACCCTGTTTCATATTAAGTAATATTTAAGTAATAATTGCTCACTTTGGTATAGTATTGAGTGTTAAATTTATAGATAAATAATACCTATTTAACGTACATGTATATTGTTTTAAAATACGTTAATTGCTTGTAGTGAAATGCCAATCAGCTGCAGAGTATTCCGAAAGGAGCGTTTGACAAGCTCATCCACCTGCAAACGCTGGACCTGCGTACCAATGAGTTGCAGGGTGATGCTGACGTTCAGATGGGCAAATGAATGGCACTCTGGCGACTTACACTCTGGCTTCACACTCACTACGACGTACAGCGCTCAGTCAACGTGAATCGCCATTGTAGTAGGCGCGTAATCGGCCACGGTAATGATTGGCCAAGACATGATGCTTAGATTGACTTAGATTTAAAGATCCCGCGACGTCATTCGCAAAAGTAGACAGCTGTGGGGCGGCGTCACGGTCCAAATTTGCGAATAAAAAAAATACCGAAATTTACTCACGGACTACACACAGAGTCAGTTGGCACGACCCACCCTCCTGAGAACGAGACTTGAGCCTCAGTGAGGCTTTCTCGGGCATCATGATGAGTGGCATTGGCCTCCGTTGCCTTCATAGAAAATGCCCGCGTAGGGAGGAGGAATGCAACCACGAATCCGTACCCTGATGAAGGCTGCGCAATTGCTGCTGCTGCTGTGCGGGTAAAACATATTTAAAGAATGATTATCATTACTAATTAAAAAATAATAGGTTCAAACACCAAATAGACACCTATTGCCAGGCGTCAAGTCTTCAATAAGCACGCATGCTTGTAGTAAAACATGCAAACACAATGCTTTGAAAATAATGTACGAATTGTCCTTGAAACTGACTGACCTACGCCAGAACCACATCCTCCTGTATGGCCTTGTCTCACCACCGCTGTTAGACCAGAGAACAACGTCAACAGGCGAACGGCACAAAGGCAGTGCAAATATCAAAACATTAATTACACGGGTTGAGCAGTTTTATCTATGGCACCCTTTTTTTACCAGTATCAAGATAATGAAAATAGAATAGAAATATCTTAACACCTCCTCTGTATTATTGTCGGAAAGGTTAAACCGTATTATTTGTACATCTTGATACCTCCAGAAATGGTCCAATAGATGTCATTATTATTGTTGTATGATGATCATGGTATATAGACAGACGGCCCTTATAAGTCGATTCGGAAAAGCACTGCAGTATAAGAGTATGTGATGTACTTCATATATATGTATGATTGTTGCATATTCACTTGGACGAGTATAGATAACGTCTAACTTTGAACTTAATTGTATGCCATCTGAACTTATATTCCAATCTAGACACCAATCAGCTGAAGAGTATCCCAGCAGGAGTCTTTGATAAGCTCACGAACCTGGGTCAGCTGGACCTGTTTAGGAATCAGTTGCAAAGCGTGCCTGATAGGCAGCCAGTCACCCAGCCACTTTGATTGACAATGTCGTTCATACAGTAACCCCTCGATTACGCCTTCATTGATTACCCAAACTTAGTACAGTACTGGAAAGTCTGAGACACACAGCCGAGACACATATAGACAGAATAGCAGCTGTATGTCGTTGAGTTGCAGTTTTCTTGACACCAAACTGTTTCATCCGCCTGTTACGAAATCTTACTCGATATGATAACCACCAATGGCTGCATAGAAGAACGGTGATGTTACACCGGATGTGTCACAATTCGGATGAATATAACCCTCGTATCTAACATGTCCACAACGGACATTATTCGTTCACACATTTAGCAAACCTGATTAATTGGAATGCAGATTGTAATTTTCTCACTTTGACACCATTCCGTTTCCAAAGATAACAATATATACGTGCACTTCACATCGTCAGCGCGCAGTAGTTTTAGTGGAATCGTCACTGTCCATAGTTTTTCGGGTTGTAATATCAATCAGCTGCAGAGAATTCCCGAAGGAGCGTTTGATAAGCTCACCAAGCTGGAAACGCTGCACCTGCAAACCAATGAGCTGCAGAGCGTTCCTGACGGGGAAGCGGACGCACGAACGAGGCCTCTGGTCAACCAACCCGCGTGAGCCACGCGATGTGGAGACGGCTTTAGTCGTGACGTCACAATAGTGATATTATGAACGTGTTTTTGATTTGTTAATTATGTAACAAAGCTTCGAACTCGTAATAATAGGGATTTTCCCCTTTTTTCTGGCAACAAAACTGAAACCTTTTTACAAGGATTCATGGCTTCATTAACCACAATACCTGCAGTCAAAATGCAAACAAAAAACATACTATGATAATATATGCATTGTCCTTGAAACTGATTGGTCCACACCAAGGGACGGCTTTCTTTTGAGCCTCGACCCAATTGGTGCTCGACCACATGACGCCAGAAGGCGTCACACAGCTCAAAGACAATGCACTATCAAAGTAATGAGGGCTCGGGGTGAGCATCGACATCATTAGACCTCCTTTGCCAGTACCAAAATGTAATAATAGGGTATTATTACATTTTGGTACTGGAAAAGGAGGTCTAATGATGTAGATGGTTCGAACTCGTGTCGGGCAGGAGGGGACACAGCCGAGATGTACATCTACAAGATAAGAAATATCATTTTTTATAATAGTATATTTCTTAGTTAACTTCATATTACATTTGAAATTGTTTTATTTCTGGTTTATCACAGTTACAATACGTTGTTCTTATAATAATGCCATTTAATTAGACCCCTTAAACTGTATTGTACTATGCATAACAAATCTGATGGAGTTACACCTGCAGTTTAACCAGCTAAAGTCTCTCCCACCTCGCGTGTTCGACTGCCTGACGCAACTAAGCCGGTTACCAATGACTACTCACACGGGAGAAATACATAGCCACGTAAAATGTAATTACGCATTCATTTTAATAAAGTACACTTCTTGAGAATAATGTCAGAGGATGTTCTGTGCTATCTGCGTCCATGGGTCATTGCCCTAGACCCTGTGATGCGCTTTACTAATCACGAGTTCTAAAGGAATTATTGATCTCATGACTTCAATAACACAATCGGGTCTAAAACAACAAAGCAAATAAAATAATCGAGCCGTATACAGAGTGTTCCTGACGGGGCCTTTGACAGCCTGGGCAAGTTGGAGGTTCTGTCCATCAACAACAACCCCTGGCATTGTGACTGTGCTGATGGACGCGCCCCGTAGAGCGCCCTGTGCACGGCCCATGCCAACTTCCCCATCCCCAGGAGGGGCTCGCTGCGTGCGCTATCAATGTCGCCGTCACTCCCCTCTCGTCTTCCCACGGGAATTCGATTAATTGTCGATTATTTTATTACCCCGTGTTACCTACTTGTTTTTGTTGATTTTAATTTTTGAATACAAATTTTGATGGATGTGTTTGATTCGTTACCCGACATGTCCCATGTGCCTGAATCTAAAAAGACTAATTATCACAAACGCGATTGGAGACTCAATAACCATTATTAATTGGAGAAATGTCTGTATATTACTCATAATGACATGTACACAGAATGTGTATGTGTAGGCCGGCGCACATGTAAGTGTGTATATGCGAATGCACATGTAGTGTTCTTGTCCGTGTGTGTGCTTAAGTGGTGAGGAACGGTGGCGCAGTGGTTAGCGCACTGCGCTACAAACCTGTAGACCCGAGTTCGATTCCTGCTCATGGCCAACACCAGTGACAATTATTTGAACCGGTCGTCGGCCTCCCCTAGGTCGACTCAGCCTCAAATGAGTACCTAATGCGGTGTCTAATCATTGCAACTAGGGAGACAAAGGCGGCCTGGCGTGGTGCTGGCCACCCACCCCCTCGTGTGCCATGCCGGCCTTCACAGGTGCTCACAAACAGAACTTGCCCCAAAAGTCTGTTAAAGCTATATGGGGGTCTTTGTCTTGTCTTTTAGTGGGACACTGCATCTCGAACCCAACCCTCCGAGTTCATTTCCTGGCTGCTACCCACACCACTGAAATGGGGCATCTGCACTGACCCTGGGTCACCTCTAAACTCAGCACTGCTCGCTCTGACATCTCTGCTTCTGGATCAAGTCACGCTGTCTCATGACATGACGCTGATATCGCATTGGGAACATGGTGGGGACTAAGAGACACCGATATTTTGAAAACTTTGATCAATGTAAACGAAGATTACAATTGCTCACTTTAGTACCATTGAGCATTCAATATAGAAACATAAAAATGCAGTTTCTATCTTTAGCATGCATTCATGAATTTGAAACGTTGTCATCGTGTAGTGGTGTAATATCAATCAACTGCAGAGTATTCCCAAAGGAGCGTTTGATAAGCTGACCAAGCTGGAAAGGCTGCACCTGCAAAACAATAAGCTACAGAGCGTTCCTGACGGGGAGGCGAACGCACGAACGAGGCCTCCGGTCAACCAACCCGCGTGAGCCACGCGATGTGGAGACGCCTTTAGTCGTCACGTCACAACAGTGCTGTCATGACGTGCCTGAAGTGTCTGAATTGTTCATTATGTAACAACGCTTCGAACTCGTGTCGACCAGCGAGGGACACACAGCCTAGATGGGCATCTACAAGATAAGAGCTATCTCTTTAGGCTAGTATATTTCTTAGTTAACTCTATATTAGCTTTGAAATTGTTTTATTTCTGGATTATCATAGTTACAATACGTCGTTCTTATAAGGATGCAATTTCATTAGACTTATAAACTGTACTCTACTAAACACAACAAACCTGATGGAGTTACACCTGCAGACTAACCAGCTCATGTCTCTCCAATCTCGCGTGTTCGACTGCCTGACGGAACTAAACCGGTTACCAATGACTACACACACGGGATAAATACATAGCAACGTTAAATGTGATTATGCATTCATTTTAATAAAGTCCACTTCTTTGCAATACAAATAATATCAGAGGCAATTTCGTGCTATCTGCGTCGATGAGTAATTGGCCAAGACCCTGTGATGCGCTTTACTATTCACGAGTTCCGAATGAATACTTCATATCGTGACTTCAATAACACAATCGGGTCTAAAACAACAAAGCAAATAAAACAAACGAGCAGTTACAGAGTGTTCCTGACGGGGCCTTTGACAGCCTGGGCAAGTTGGAGGTTCTGAATATCAACAACAACCCCTGGCATTGTGACTGTGCTGATGGACGCGCCCCGTAGCGCGCCCTGTGCACGGCCCATGCCAACTTCCCCATCGGCAGGAGGGGCTCGCTGCGTGCGCTATCAATGTCGCCGTCACTCCCCTCTCGTCTTCCCACGGGAATTCGATGAATTGTCGATTATTTTATTACCCCGTGTTACCTACTTGTTTTTGTTGGTTTTCGTTTTTGAATATAATTTTGATGGATGTGTTTGATTCGTTACCCGACATGTCCCATGTGCCTGAATCTAAAAAGACAAATGATCACAAACGTGATTGGAGACTCAATAACCATTATTAATTGGAGAAATGTCTGTATATTACTCATAATGACATGTACACAGAATGTGTATGTGTAGACCGGCGCACATGTACGTGTGTACATGCGCATGCACATGTAGTGTTCTTGTCCGTGTGTGTGCTTAAGTGGTGAGGAGCGGTGGCGCAGTGGTTAACGCACTGCGCTACAAACCTGTAGATCCGAGTTAGATTCCTGCTCATGGCCAACACCAGTGACAATTATTTGAACCGGTCGTCGGCCTCCCCTAGGTCGACTCAGCCTCAAATGAGTACCTAATGCGGTGTCTAATCATTGCAACTAGGGAGACAAAGGCGGCCTGGCGTGGTGCTGGCCACCCACCCCCTCGTGTGCCATGCCGGCCTTCACAGGTGCTCGCAAACAGAACTTGCCCCAAAAGTCTGATAAAGCTATATGGAGGTCTTTGTCTTGTCTTTTAGTGGGACACTGCATCTCGAACCCAACCCTCCGAGTTCATTTCCTAGCTGCTACCCACACCACGGAAATGGGGCATCTGCACTGACCCTGGGTCACCTCTAACTCAGCACTGCTCGCTCTGACATCTCTGCTTCTGGATCAAGTCACGCTGTCTCATGACATGACGCTGATATCGCTTTGGGAACATGGTGGGGAGTAAGAGACACCGATATTTTGAAACTCTGATACATTACAAACGAAGATTTCCATTGCTCAATTTAGTACCACTGAGCATTACATTTTAAAATATAGAATGCAATTTCCATCATCAGCGTGCATTGATATTGTTTTAAACGTTGTCATCGTGTAGTGGTGTAATATCAATCAGCTGCAGAGTATTCCCAAAGGAGCGTTTGATAAACTCACCAAGCTGGAAACTCTGCAGCTGCACACCAATAAGCTACAGAGCGTTCCTGACGGGCAGGCGAACGCACGAACGAGGCCTCTGGTCAACCAACCCGCGTGAGCCACGCGGTGTGGAGACGCCTTTAGTCGTGACGTCACAAGATTGCTGTCATGACGTGCCTGAATTGTCTGAATTGTTCATTTTGTAACAAAGCTTCAAACTCGTGTCGGGCAGCAGGTGTAGTGGGTTAAATTCAGGCGCACACTCGAACTTTGGAGGCAACACGATTTATTAGCTAAACACAACGGGTAACTCTCAACATTTACAGGACAACGACATAGGGTGGTAACCACTATTCCTAACTTAGCTAACACACGGGGATACTACATTACTGGACCGGAGACCGAGGTTCGTAGATGGTGGCTTCATCCCAGAGTTGACCCAGCAGAACACCACAGAACAGCCCCCAGCTCTCCGTCCATGCCCCGCTTATAACCACTCCGGTGTGGCCGGCTCCGCCTCAGGCCACGCCCCCCTTCCCGATCCTTTGGGAAGGCCCGAGCCCCCAACCACGTGACCCCCCTGGGGCCCCTGGCCCCCCTTTATCCGGTCACGTGTCCTGTTGGGTTCACGCAGAGTGTCACGGCCCGACACGATCCCCGTGACACCCGCCTACAGCCCCCATACCGAGCCAACACAGTAGTGTCGTTCTACTACACTACACAGCGAACACACAGCCTAGATGTACATCTACAAGACAAGATATATTTTTTTTGTCAGAGTATATTTCTTAGTTAACTCCATATTAGCTTTGAAATTGTATTCTTTCTGATTTATCATAGTTACAATACGTCATTCGTATAAGGATGCCATTTCATTAGACCCATAAATTGTAACGTCCTATACGTAACAAATCTGATGGAGTTACATCTGCAGACTAACCAGCTCATGTGTCTCCCACCTCGCGTGTTCCACTGTTTGGTGGAACTAAACCGGTTACCAATCACGACACACACGGGAGAAAACATATGGCCACATTTAATGTGATTATGCAGTCCACTTCTTTAGAATTCAAATAATGTGAGTGGTATTCTTAGTTTTTTCGGTAAAGTCACGTTGAAGAGAAACAACAAAATAACAAAATGTATATAAAACAATAAAAAAATTCTCACGACGTTTCGGCCATAACTCAAACGGTCATCATCAGGTGTGTTGGTTTGCATAAATTTAGAATTTTTTATTGTTTTTATATATATATTTTGTTATTTTGTTGTTTCTCTTCAACGTGACTTTACCGAAAAAACTAAGAATATGAATTACTGCAGTCACGAAAGCTTTAAATCAAAATTTAATGTGAGTGGTAGTTTTGTGCTATCTGCGTCCATGAGTAATTGGCCAAGACCCTGTGATGCGCTTTACTAGTCACGAGTTCCGAATGAATACTTCATATCGTGACTTCAATAACACAATCGGGTTTAAAACAACAAAGCAAATAAAACAAACGAGCAGTTACAGAGTGTTCCTAACGGGGCTTTTGACAGCCTGGGCAAGTTGGAGGTTCTGACTATCAACAACAACCCCTGGCATTGTGACTGTGCTGATGAAGGCGCCCCGTAGCGCGCCCTGTGCACGGCCCATGCCAACTTCCCCATCCCCAGGCGGGGCTCGCTGCGTGCGCTGTCAATGTCGCCGTCACTCCCCTCTCGTCTTCCCACGGGAATTCGATTAATTGTCGATTATTTTATTACCTCGTGTTACCTACTTGTTTTTGTTCCGATTTAACGCTTTCGTGACTGCAAGGATTCATCTTCTTTGGTTCTTTCGGTAAAGTCACGTAGAATGAGAATGAAATAATAAAATAACACAATAAAATTCCCACGACGTTTCGGCCACAACGCAAGCGGCCGTCTTCAGGTGAAAGGTACAGACCTGTCGGGACGACAGAGCTTCAATGAACGATGTTAAGATTCGTAGCGACTTTTAAGCTGGTTGGGAGAAGTGAGGTACCTTGACAAAGGGGTTTACATATCAAATAGCTGAGGGATTAGCTTGTGAATGATCACAGGGATGGCTATGTTAAAGTAAAAACCTACACATCCACAGAGGCAACTAGTAATTTAGCATTGAAATAGCTAAGGGATTAGCTTGTGCAAATAGCTGAGGGATAGCTTGTGACTGGTCACAGAAATGGCTATGTTAAAGTCAAAACCTTAACATCCACAGAGGCAACTAGTAATCTAGCATTGAAATAGCTGAGGGATTAGCTTGTGAATGGTCACGGAAATGGATGTTAAAGTAAAGGCCTACACATCCACAGAGCTTCAATGAACGCTGTTAAGATTCCTAGCGACTTTAAGCTGGTTGGGAGAAGTCAGGCCCTTAACAAAAGGGGGTTTGCATATCAAATAACTGAGGCATTGGCTTGTGACTGGTCACGGAAATGGCTATGTTAAAGTCAAAACCTACACATCCACAGAGGCAACTAGTAATGTAGCATTGAAATAGCTAAGGGATTAGCTTGTGACTGGTCACAGAAATAGATGTTAAAGTCAAAGCCTACACATCCACAGAGGCACCTCGTACATGGACGCCAAAGGGGGCTGCAACAACTCAACTGTCATACAGTAAGCCGATGTGAAAACCCTAATTCTAAATTACATCAAAATAATAAATGTATTTCGATTTCTCCAAGACGGAGGTTCTCCGCAAACCAACCGGCCACCATGAGAGACTCGTTCATGAGGCCACTCACATACACAAGCACAGAGACAATTTCAACCGAGAAGATGGACTCCGGCCCAGCAACCACTGGAAAGATGTCCCAAACCACCTCGGTTCCCAATCAACTGCACTCCACGATGACCCTCAGACCGCAGCTCCTTCGCTGGCACCGACCCTCAACACCTCTCACACCACGGTCAATGGCATGGCCTACAACATGGAGCACAATAGCGCCCCGCAGCTGTCCCTCTCCCCCTCCTCCGCTCCAACCATGGATGAACCCGTCCGCCTGAACGGGGCTCGCAGCTATCCGTGGTGCCAAAGCTGAGGGCAAGAATCCACCCATCTTTTCACCATATAGCATTGTGATATATAACGACTTATTGTTGGTAGCTTAGCTGATTGGAGAATATATAGAGTTTATTGATAACATTGAGGTAGTTTATATTTTAGTCTTTTATTGGTTTACTATATGGCATTCACCATACAGTGCAGTGCACACCCAGCCACTGTCAATAGCTCAGCTTATTGAAGAATACATTGAGTACATTCAT